TTATGTCAACAATTATATTTTTAGAGAATTATCTTCATTTATACCCAAATCATCATTTGACCTACTTATTTTTTTATTTTTAAAATTGGTAAATATATCATGATTATTTTTTATGACCAAAATAAGAAAATGTATGTATATTCTTGACATATTTATTTATTGTAAAAAATTTATATGTTTATATTAAAAATTCTTATACAAATAATTAAGTATATTTATGTATGAAAAACTTATATAATATTAGGTCGACTTAAAATATGGAGCTTGTTCTAATCATACCTTGGGCTTGATTTACAAATTAATCAATCAATTAGTGAAAACAATTAATAAGTAATGTAGAAATGGGGGTTGATTTTTATGCTATATATCAATACAATTTTTAGATAATCGTTTTGGTTCATGCCCAATTATCACATTGCCCACTTATTTATTTTTTAAAATGGTAAAAATATTGTAGAATTTTTTATAACCAAAATAAAAAAATATGAATATATATTAGGCATATTTATTAATATTCTAAAACTTCAATTAAGAAATTATATACTTATTCTTAAAATATGTCTAATATTAAATTATATTTACATTTGAAAAAATTATTTGAGATCAGATTAAGCTAGTTCATATTTTTTGCATAGAACTTGATCAAAGAAGTGAAATCTCAAAACAAATCATAATTTTCAATTTAAATTTTATTAAATTTTTATTTAATACAAATTTTCAAGTAAAATGTTTTAATATTTTAAAAATAATTAATTATTTGTGAAATGAAGTTACCATTATAAAAAATATTATTTTTTTAATAGTGTGAAAAATCATTAACTAAAGAATTAAATTGATAAGATATAGAATTTTTATTTTTATTTTTATTTTTATTTTTTTTTAAACAAAATCAATGAGTGAGGCTGATAGGAAGGGTGCTTATAATCATACACACTTAATTTCTTTTCACACCCATCACATGTATTAAAAAATTTAGGGGGATTTGGTGATAGCCCCCTCACTATCTAATTTGTCTTTCAAAAGGACAATAATTATATAAGTACTTTCAAAACCCCCTAATATTTTAAAACTTGTTTCTTTTACTATATTACCCTTATATCTATCAGCTCTCCTATTAAGCCATCTTCATTGTGTATTTCAGAGTAAAATTTTACTCTGAATAAAAGTAAAATTTTACTCTGAAAAACTAGTAAAATGTTAGACTCTACACAAAAGTAAAATTTTACTCTGTATAAAAGCAAAATTTTACTCTGAAAAACGAGTAAACTGTGAGACTCTGAAGTTAAAGTAAAATTTTACTCTGAAAAACTAGTAAAATGTTAGACTCTACACAAAAGTAAAATTTTATTCTGAAAAATGAGTAAACTGTGAGACTCTTAAGCTAAAATTAAAATGTTACTCTGCACAAAAGTAAAAAAGCGAAGGCAGTGTTTGTAGCGGCTAAAGTGTTTGGCAATGACCACCTCTTGATAGTAAAATTTTACTATCATTCTAACACCAGAGTAAAATTTTACTCTAATTCTCTCAAACAAAAAACAGAGCAATGGAATAAGAGTAAAATTTTACTCTCATTATCTGAAACAAAAAACATAGCAATAGAACCAGAGTAAAATTTTACTCTGGTTCTGTCAAATGAAATTAGATCAAAAACAACAAAAATAAATCAAAAAAAAAAACAAACAAACAAACAAACAAAAACAAAACAAATTAATCAACAAATCAACATATCTAATTGAGAAGAAAAACTTCTAAAACTCGATCAACAATCACAAATCTCAATGAAAAGAATACATATATTCAAAACTAAGCGATCAATTCATTGCTCTTCGGAGTAACAGCGATCAATTTAGAGACGATCTGTTTCTCCTCGTAGACGATCTTCTTCGATTCCGGCATCGGAGGACAATTTTCCAACCCATAGTTAATTTCGTTCCCGATGTTCTTGATGAGTTCATCGTAGAGATCGGTTTCGGTATTGTTGATCGCCAGAGTTTCGCCTGCTAACTGACCGGACTTGGCTAGGAGAGTGATGACAATGATGCCGGTGGCGTTGGCGAGGTCTGAAGCTTCTAGATCTGAAGCTTGAAGGAGTTAGAGAAGGGAGAGAGGGAGGAGAAAGATAGAGAATGTGGGGAGAGAGTGAGTGGAGAATGTGGGAAAATTTAGTTGAGGGTATAATAGTCTAATAAAATATTTAAATAATAAATTTTGTCCTTTATGTAAGATTTTATAATTATGAGGGGGTTTAGAAAGTATAATTTTTTTCTTAATCATTTTAACAATGAAAGGAAGGCAAAGGGGGTTTATAGCCAAATTTTCCAAAAATTTATAATTTAGGCGTAAATATATGAGTGTACAAAACAAATCAAAAAGGGAGAAAAAAAAAAGTGTACAAAAGAAACTAAATGTGTGTAATTAAATCAAAATATTTTGAAAGTTCCTAATTTTTATCATGAATTTTAAAGATGTGAGTGTAGTTATATATGGTATGAATAATAGAATACTATAGTAAGAAACAAGTTTTAATTTTTTTTAAAGAAAATAAAAATTAGTGGGACTGGACTGTTAGAAAGATATGAAATATTTTTAGTGCTGCTATTAGCACCCATCAATTATTTTGGACCCCCACTTATAAATTGTAAAACCCTTAAAATTTCTTTTCTCTCCTCAAATAATACCAAAATTATCCTTGTAAAAACATTTCACAAATTCAAATGCACACCTCCATACTCCTTACACCCCAAAAAGCCTCTTTCCCAAAACTCTAACAAAACTCACGACAGTGGAACCTCCCAAAATTAGTCGAAAATTTTTGTGATAATTAAGAAATTTTTTTCTGCGATTCATTACAAGGTTCGTCAACTATATGATTTTTTTTTCTATTACATTTTTTCATACACACAACACAATTCACTTTCATGTTTCTCTAGTTGGTTTTCTGTCATTCATTTATGACCTTAATGTACTTGTATGCTCTCTGTATAAGTAAAACTGGGCAGGATTTCACCCGCCGGTCGACTCCTTGGTCAACCGGCCGGATGACCACCTAATGGTGGTCCGACTTCCTTTGTTTGCCTGCTTCTACTACTGCTTCGGTTACCTGTTCCCAAATAAATAAGAAATATTCGGTTACCTGTTACAAATAAACAACATTCGGGTTTGTATTCCTGAATTTCGATCGTATGTTCGAGGAGTTCAGTCCTGAAAAAATGACGAACAATTTTTATTATTTTTGCCATTTTGTTCAAGAAACTTACTCTTACAAGGTCAATCTCCTTTGAGTTAAGAATACCATCAAAGCTATAAACTTTTTCAGAGCTTTTATTATGGTACTCATATCGTCTCATGGAGTTGTGGTTGCAGAAAAAACTTTCACTCATTGTCATTGTTGAAGAAGTGTATATAATCAAATGGTTGCCACCATTGCCGCCAAAGGGTTTTGAAGGTAGGATTTAGGGAAGGTAGGATTTAGGGAAGATAGATGGGTGGTAATTGAGGTGGTTACTTTCATAAACCCTAACTCATGATGTAGTGGGTGTGTGGCTTGTTTTGGGAACATTAGCTTTTTGGCTTTTTTTTAACTTTTTAACTTTTTTGGGTCACATCATCTCTCTATTTTTTTACACAAAAAGATAAAATCTCAGTTTTTTACCATCTTCCCAAAACACCAATTAATTGCAAGATAGGATGTCCGAAAATTATTAATATATTTTTTAGTAATTTCATTTGAGATTATTATTGTAATAGAAAAAAGCTAAAAAAATGGGAGTCTAAAATAATTAATGAGATATTAATAGCATCACTCATATTTTTTTTATCTTTCTTTTTGGAAATTATAAATTATGGAATTATTAACATTTTAAAAATTATTATTTTAATAGATTAGCCAATGTTATTTTTTAATTAATAAGTTCATAAATTTATTATGATATTATGAAATTTTGGAACTTGTAAAATGCTCCTTATGAGACTCCACATTACTTAAATAATATAAATAAATAGATAAATGAGTATGAAATAAGCCTACATTTTTTGTTTCTCATGTTTCATGCTCCTTATGAAGTTCGGTTATAAAAAAAAACAAAAAGTGTAATTATATTAAAATTAGGAGATTTGTTATATTTTCTTTAAATATAAAAGAGAATAGTGTAATTTATCATAAAAATAAATAAATAAAAATGTTATAGTAGTGTAACCCCTCTCCATTTCTCTTTCTCTCTCTCTTTCTCTCTCTCCCCTCTTGCTTTCCCAATCTCTCTTTTCCCATTTAGAGGTATGAGTTCACAACCGCCGGCCAAAGTCACCACCGAGTGGGTCGCCACCGCCGCCACTTCTAGAAGCCAAATCATTCAGGTCTCTTTTTCTCTCTGCTGTCGTTTTTATTTTATTGTACACGATTGTTTTTGGTTTATAGAGTTTAGAAAAATTGTGAATCTGTTGATCTATTCTGGTTTGATTGTTGGGGACAAGCATTGGTAGTCATGCTGTAATTGTAATATGTGGATGAAGCATACAGTGATCGTGATATTCTAAAGTTTCAAACTTTCTTTCTTTGGATAAGGCATACAGTGATTGTAATACTTTTTTAAGTCATTGACTGTAATACTTTTTTTTTTCTTTTTTTTTTAAGGAAGTGCACAAGTTGAATTATGTTAAAAATTTATAAAATTTTAAACCGCCAAACCGATTCACATCCATCCGCCAAACCGCCAATCCGCTCAATCCACATCCGCCGGATTGGCGGACGGATGCGGATTGATTTTCTTCAATCCGCCAATCTGGCGGATGGATGGCGGATTGGAGGTTTCGTGGCCGCAATCGACCCGCGCCCACCCCTAGTTTCATGCTCCTTATGTAGTTCGGTTATAAAAAAAAACAAAAAGTGTAATTATATTAAAATTAGGAGATTTATTATATTTTCTTTAAATATAAAAGAGAATAGTGTAATTTATCATAAAAATAAATAAATAAAAATGTTATAGTATTGTAACCTTTCTCCATTTCTCTCCTCTCTCTCTTTCTCTCTCTCCCTTCTTGCTTTCCCAATCTCTCTTTTCCCATTTAGAGGTATGAGTTCACAACCGCCGGCCAAAGTCACCACCGAGTGGGTCGCCACCGCCGCCACTTCTAGAAGCCAAATCATTCAGGTCTCTTTTTCTCTCTGCTGTCGTTTTTATTTTATTTTATTTTATGTTATTTTACACGATTGTTTTTGGTTTATAGAGTTTAGAAAAATTGTGAATCTGTTGATCTATTCTGGTTTGATTGTTGGGGACAAGCATTGGTAGTTCCCTTGCGCAGTTTTGCTGAGTTTTTGGAACAGTCTCTCATTTTGGGGACAGTTTTGCTGAGATTTTGGGGATCGTTTCAACTGAAAAGCAGACACATTTTTTGAGACTCTTTGTTTTTTCTGTTTGAATTATGTAAGCGAAAACTTGTAACTGAAAGTGTCCTAGAAACCTAAACAATTGTACAACATTGAAATTGAAATACACATTATGTATTCATACTATTCCATGAGTTTCAATCAAAATAATTTGATTCATGCTGTTCAATTTTAAATTGAGTGAATTATGTGATTCAAGTGTGGTTCATTGCGAGCACTACTAGAAAAATCACTTTTTACATCAGACTTTGGTGGATGAAAATAATTACAAGGCGGTCACCAATATTCTTTTGCAAGCAGCATGTGTCGGCAAAGGGGGGGGGGTCACTAGTCGGTGCAACTTGGGGCTTGGGTTGGGGGTGTGCTCCCTCTGGGTCTCAGGTTCAATACTCACTAGTTGCCTATGCTTGTTAGGGTCAATCCATACAGGGCAGTTGTTTTGGTTTTAAATGGGGCCCTGCAAGTGAGCAGTGAGATTGGTCTCCTGGGATTAGTCGAGGTGTGCGTAAGTTAGTCTAGACACACAGTTATCAAAAAAAAGAAAAGAAAAGAAGCTTATGTTTAGAGGGGCTATGCCTCAAGATAATGTTTACTAAGAGTTCCGTACCCTGAGCCCAATTCTTTCCATTCCAGCAACTTGATAAGCTTAACCAAAAACATGGGAATTGAGAATGGGAAATCCATGTTGGCAACCAAATAACAGAATGGGAATGGGAATGGGTATGGCTATGGGTATATTATTCCATTACAACTTACACGTCATTCCCTTGTACCAAACATGCAGATCCATCTAAATTCAAAATTCAAAATTCAAAATTTTCAATATATATAATTATATATTTACATTTTGTTTTAAATTCTCTTTTTATTCCATTAATGGTGTTTCCTCCGTGTTTAGTATTACTCCTTATTTCTTTTGGTACTTATTCGACTTGTTCTATTATATATAATCATATTCATATATTACTCAATTTGGTTATCATAATTTTGCAGCTCAAATTTGCTAAAACTGATTGAATCAGTCAACAGTAGCATCCAAATCTGAACATGGTTCATGGCCATTTTGCTCTACAAATTCGTATCATCTCCACATACTGTTAGTTTCTGAAACTTTCAGTTGCCCCTTTAGAGTTATGCTAAAAAGATTGAAACTCTCAGATCTTGGGCTCCAAGATTTACATTCACTGTGCAAAAACTGTTACGCATTTTGCTCTTCTGGGGTTAAGGCAAGTCATTGTGAGGCAGTCCTTAATAACCATGAGCCTGAGTCTGAAACAGAGTGGGAGAGCTTACTCAAACCTTTTGATCTTGAAAAGCTCCGAAAATCGCTCAATTGGATTTCCCCGAATCAACTTCGTAAATTGCTGGAGCTCCCTCTGGATGTGTCGACATCAGTTAAGCTATTCCAATGGGCAGGTACCCAGAAGGGCTATTGCCATTCCTTTGATGTGTATTGTGCTTTAATCGATAAACTTGGGGCAGCCAGGGAATTTAAGGTCATAGATAGTTTGCTATTGCAGATGAAAGAAGAACAAATAGTTTTTAAAGAATCCCTTTTCATTTTGATCATGAAATATTATGGTAGAGCTGGTTTGCCTGGGCAAGCAACTTGGTTGCTTTTAGATATGAGGAGTCTTTTTTCTTGTGTACCCACTTTTAGGTCATATAATGTTGTCCTGGATATACTGGTAGCTGGAAATTGTCCGAAAGTTGCCCCAAATGTTTTTTATGAAATGTTGAATAAGGGTATTTCTCCTACTGTTTACACTTTTGCTGTGGTAATGAAAGCACTCTGTTCCATAAATGAGGAGGACACTGCATGTTCACTACTTAGGGACATGACCAAACATGGATGTGTACCCAATTCTGTGGTTTACCAGACTCTTATACATGCTCTTTCCAAAGTTAATAGAGTAAATGAAGCATTGAAACTTTTGGAGGAAATGTTTCTGATGGGCTGCACACCAGATGTGAATACCTTCAATGATGTTATCCACTGCCTTTGCAAGGTCAATCGGATACATGAGGCTGCAAAATTGGTTGACCGGATGCTTCTCCGTGGCTTCACTCCCAACTCTATAACTTATGGTGTTTTGATGCATGGGTTGTGCAGAATGAGGCAAGTTGATGAAGCAAAGGCATTGTTGAACAGAGTGCCGGAGCCAAATGTTGTCTTATTTAATACCTTAATTGATGGATATGTTAAAAATGGACAGCTTGATGCAGCAAAAGATATTTTGAATGAAAGCATGTTGAGTATTGGCTGTTACCCAGATGTTTATACATACAACATACTTGTCAATGGACTGTGTAAAACATGGTCTTTGGTTTCAGCACTTGAATTGGTGAAAGAGATGGAATCTAAGGGCTGTGAGCCTAATGTGATCACTTACACGATTTTGATTGATGGATTCTGCAAGGCTGGCCAGCTGAAGGAAGCTCGTCATATTTTGGATGAAATGTCAATTAAGGGGATCAGTCTGAATACAGTGGGCTACAATTGCCTAATATGTGCACTATGTAAGGATGGGAGTGTCCATGAGGCTCTACACATGTTCAGTGATATGTTGAGTGAAGGATGTAAACCTGACATATTCACGTATAATTCATTGATATATGGGCTTTGCAAGGTCGATCAGATGGAAGAGGCCTTGGAAAGGTATCATGATATGTTACTGGATGGTGTTATTGCGAATACCGTAACTTACAACACATTGATTCATGCTTTTTTAAGGAAAGGTGCAACCCAAGATGCACTTAAGCTTGTAAATGATATGTTATTTAGAGGCTGCCCCCTTGATGAGATAACTTCTAATGGCATAATTACGGCATTTTGCAATGAAGGGGCTGTTGACAAAGCATTAGGATTCTTTGAGGAAATGATGAGGGAGGGGCTTGATCCCCATATTAAATCCTGTAATATTTTGATAAATCGCCTTTGTAGGACTGGGAAAGTACAGAATGCGCTTGATTTTTTAAGGGATATGATTCATCGAGGATTGACACCAGATATAGTTACCTATAACAGCCTAATTAATGGTCTATGCAAAATGGGTCATGTTCGAGAAGCTCTTGACCTCTTTGACAAGTTACAAGATGAAGGAATTTCTCCTGATGCTATAACTTACAACACTTTGATCAGTTCGCAGTGTAAACAGGGCATGTTAGATGATGCCTGTGTACTTCTAAGCAGAGGTGTGGGAAATGGTTTCATACCTAATGATGTTACGTGGTATATATTGGTCAGAAATTTTGTTAAAGAGGGTGATGAGGAGTGTTTCTGAAACTTTCAGTTGCCCCTTTAGCTGCAAGAAAGCTTTGGGATTTGAATGGCCCTCCTATGATCTTTCAGTTTCGTGTTATGAAGTTTCTCTCCCAATCAGTCTTATTTATTTCCCAGTTCTATGTTAATTTACATATAAACTGGCATCAATTACCCTTTCATTGTTTTAGATTTTAGCATTCAAAGTTTGCATCAATGGCTGCATTAAGCTTGCCATTTTGATTGTTCATTGGTTGCTGGGAAGGGATCAGATGGGAATTTATGTTCTCTGAAAGAAGCTGTATGATTGGTGATTAAGAAATGGTGTAATCAGGATAATTTGAGCTGAATCCATCAAAAGCGAGCAGTTTAAAGTGTTCATGTTGTAGAGTGCATTTGTTTAAAATTATTATCAGATGTGAACTGGGTTGGAATTGCGGGGAAAACGCTGGCTTGGTAGTTTTTCCTGGGCCTATGTATGGTTTGTAGTGGTTGAAAGTGGGTGAACACTTGTATATTATCATCTATGTGAGAGCAAGAAATGATCATGCCCTTAACTTCAGGTAATATCATCATGTACTCGTCTTACAATCATCTCACTAATTTATTTATTTTTTTAGAGTAGAACTGGCAGCGTATCCGCCATTATTGGAGTTCATCATCTATTTATGTACAATACAGTAATTTTTCTTCATATGAATAATGATTTTTCCAGAGTCTACAACCTGTAAATGGATATGTATATTTGTTTAAATTTCAGATGTTTTTGACTGTACTTCTTAATTAAATAGATTTACTTACCGTTATGTCTTGCAATGTTAAATACTTCATTGTTGTTCTATAAAACCATGGTTTCTTGTCGCACATTATATCTGTGTTTTTTTTCTTTTACTTATTTTTTTGTTGTTTGTTTTTTTCACAAGTTTTTGAATACTCTGCCATTGGACCTAGTATTGCAAAGTTGGTCAGCTTCTAGCAGAATTTCTGCCGTGATGTATATGATTTCTGACCAATTTTTGAAGACTCGGTAGTTGCTAATTTCTTGAAAGGAGTCTCTCTAAATATTTTGTTTTAGGGGCACCATATTTGTAGTAGGATGGTCTTTCATGTTATAGTTGATTGCAGGATATGCAGTGTTGTTGGTTAGTGGATACAGATGCCTTTTTTTTTTGGGGAGTTTTTGGGTGGTATTGAGGAATTGAAATGAATTCTGGAGTATCCGTGTAGGAGTGTAAGCGGTTCGGTTCAGTTTGGTTTAGTCATGATCGAGAGAAAATGTAAGAGTGTAAGTGGTTCGGTTTGGTTTAGTTAGGATTTAGAAAAAATTTAGCATCGAACTGAATTTTTCAATTTTGTTAGTTGAGAAATCGAAACCGATCGCTTGTTACAGTTTGATTTTGTGGGTTTAGTGTAGATGAGAAATTGACATGAGTTCAAAGATTTTTATAAAAACTTGTAAAATCTCGCATTGAAAATAAATGAAGAATAATAGTGAAAGTTGTTCTCTTTAACTCATATTACAAAACATGTATTATTAGTCATTTCATAATGCTCACAGAATTTAAAATATGAAAGTACATAGATATATCATTTTGATCGGTTTGATTTGTATTAATGTAATTTTTGTTTTTCAAAATTACAACCAACCTATTTAAACCACACATTCTTTTTCTTTAATATTTTTCTGTGGTTGATTTTTTAAATCTCTAGTATTATTCTGTGATTGATCCTTATATTTAGGAGAATAATTGGAGTAGATGTTGGCAGTCGTTGCCTACCATGGAGAATGCTTTTGATGTGATTCAATTTGTAATGCAATGGGGGTGTTGGGTTTTTTGCAGTTCCCTATCCATCTTTGGATGTGTGTGCACATTCATTGTCTCAGCCACATTCTCATTCTTTTTTATCAAATTTTTGTTGTGGGTACTTTTATTTTATTTTTATTTTTTTGTGGGTACTTATTTATTTATTTATTTTAGTTTTTAGGTTTTATGACTATAAAATTCGAAAAATAAAAAAATTGACCAAATTTCTTTATAAAAATTCCAAAAAAGCAATTTCTTTTTTACTCTTTTTCTTTCAGTGGTTTTTTTAGAAGGTTGGACCCTTTAATTTTTTAAGAATTTTCTACTCTAGAATAACTTAAAGTATAATTTTTTTTAGGTACCAAAAACAAAAGAGCTCAGAAAAATATAACATATTTGTATTTGTTCATTTTATACCAAAAGATTTATTAAATTGACTTATTCATTATTATTTTTGAAACAATCTTTCGCATCATTTTGATAAAATTTGTTAAGGTAAAATTATACTTACATTCTTTAAAAATTTTAAAAATACAATAAGTCCATAAATTTTATCTAATTATATTGAGTGTCTATGAGATTTTAATTTACGTAACACTTTTCGTAATACAAATATTTATTTATTTTTATAATACAAATATGATTTAAATATATAATTATCGATTTTCGAGCATCTTATTTTTTTTGCATGAATATTTTACTCAATAAGTACTAAAAAGTGAACGGTTCAAATCACCGAGGTCGGACTCAAAATGGGCCCATCAAGTCCAAATGCTCTCTCAAGTTGAAATGGTTAACTTGAGAGAATCCAAACCCCAAAACAGTTTGGATTCACACTTGTCATTTTTCTTGAAAACAAACACGATAAAATAAAAATATAAATCGACTTAATTTTTTTCATGAATAATATACAAGAATTACTTTACAAAATTAATAATTCGAATATTAAAATGGGATGTAGAACTCAAACATAATGATCATTTGAATTTGACAAAAGCTAAACCCTATAAAATTTATTTATTTTTGTAAATCATCTGTCATGTATGCTTATGCTAGGGTATTGCACAAGGGAGATGGGAGTTGTTCTTATTAATCTTGAATACATATATATGTTTTGCAATAGCACACACATATATAACGATCGCCAGAGTTATTGATGGAAAAGAGACAAAAAAAGAAATCTGAGGAAGGGGAGAGAAATTAACTGGAACGAAGAATGTGATGAGCAAATGAGACAGCAGGATTATTACGACTATCTTCCTCATCTTCCTCCTGGTCTTGATCTTCATCTTCTTGGGAAGAAGGTGGTCTCGGTGGACATTGCGAAGAAAGTTGAAGAGGCTCGAAGCTGTGGGAAGACGGTGCTGTTGTTTCGCAAGTAAGGGCGTCGAAACTAGAGTTGATGATCAAGTTGTTGTTGTTGTTAAGGAGGTGGTGGTGGTGGTGGTGGTGGTGATTGTTGGAAGTTGAGGATGAGTTGTTGGAGTATGCTGGTCCTGGTCCTGGTTGCAGCAATGCTATGTGTTGTTGTTGTTGTTGTTGATGTGGTTGGAGTTGGTGGGTGTTGTGGAAGGCATTTGCTACTGCAAGCCTACTGTTTATCAGCTGTGTTTGCACCATTGCTAGCTCTGCTTGGAGTGATGCCACCTTCATCAACACATTATATTGCAAGTTAAGTAGTAAACAAGATAAATTATCATTTTATCTACTAATGTAGTCATCTCATTAGCACTCCCTTCGGATGGAGGGTTTTGGTGAAAAAATAAAAGCAATTGAGGAAATCAGATTTCTTATCATTTACTTGGATAATTAATGAGGTGAGTAATTGTAAAAAAGAAGAAAAATTGCGAGAAAGACAAATCACTCAAAACTTGAGTTTTGTTTCTTATCAAAAGTTATGAGATTTGGTGAGAAATTAAAATTACATTTTACAAAAAATTTATATTACCTAAACTACCTCTTTAAATACAAACAAAACAAAATAAAAAGATACATGTATCCTCATTATCGATCCAAATAAAAAAGTGAGAAATCACAATTATTTTTATTCTTTTCTCACCTAGGTAAGAAACTCAAATAATAATTTATTTATTTATTTAGTTTTTTTTTTTCATCTCACGATCTAAAGAGGGTGTAGATGTTTAGGTAACATATTCACAATCACATACTAGAAAAAAAAAAAAAGAAAAAAAAGAAAGGGAATTACAACACAATGGAAATAGGAAAAAAATTTACAAAAACATGTGAAGTGCAAGTGAAATATTGTGGGGATGCAAATGTGACTTGCACCTCTCCATGTTTGTGTTAAAAAAAAAAAAAAAAACACTCTGTCCCATTGGGATGTAATTCCCCCCCAAAAAAATTAAGGCAAGTTGCACCCTAGTCCTTATATTTTATTCTATGTCATTGTAGTCTCTGTAATTTTAATTAACTCAATTTTGACACAGGTTTTATGGTTTTGTCTTAATTTGATCTAATTTATTACCATTATTAACATTTTTTTTAATAAAAAAATACACACATAAACGACATGTGTCATACTTTTAAGGGTAGAATTATAAATTTAATAAATTTTATGAGTTAATCTTAACCAACTCAATAATTATTTTTCATGAAAAATCCTAACGACGTTATCAATTGGATAAAATTGACTCAAAATCTAAAATTAAAAGTTAAAAATGAATCAATTGAAAGTGTAAAGATCAAAATTATACAAGAGCTAAAATGTAAAGACTACTGGCGTAATTTATCCAAAAATTTATTTTTGTATGACGATTGTCATTTTTAAATATGATGAGCTGATATACATACAAGGGTGCACACCCAGTGCATGTGCAAATGTATATAACTTAAGAATGAAAAAGATGAATAAAAACAGTTCCTGAAATTTTAATATATGAATAAAAATGCTAGATTGTAAATTTTTTTTATCAAACACTCATGTGAATATGAGATCCACACCCATGTGGGACTCACATCTATATTAGTGTTTAGTAAAAAATTTAATAATTTTTTTTTGTATCCCTAACATTTCTCTATATGAATAAGTTTTCATATGACAATTTCCTCATATTGATATATAGTTTTTTGAATTATTGTGAGCATTTTTGGAAAAAACAAAAAAAACTGTGACGGAAATTGTTCACACGAATTTGGATATTCTCATTATAATTGTGTGTGAATCCAAATCAATATCAATATCAGGACATATCATTTTCCTTCTAATAAACACCCCATAGTCACCCCATATCATTTTCCTCAGACACCCAGTGACGTGGCACCGCTCCATTCGCTGAAGAAAAAAAAAATTTATTTTTTGGGCCAATCACCTTCCTACACACACACGACCCCCAGTAACCCCCACTGGGAATCTTAGGCATTTTTCGTCACCTAAATGTCCAATTTACAATAGATGAGTTGTTTCATAAAATTTAATCACCATCTAGTATGCCAATACGGTGCATCCTATTATACAAATAGGATATACAAATATGAAATATGGATATAATAGAATTTTGCAAGAAAATATATCTTCTAATTTTTAGTATTGTATTATATATAAGTTCAAAGAGTCATAAGAAACTATTTTTTAAAAATTAAATATTAATTAATTTAAGAGACAGTACTCAATTTGCTTTTAAATTTTCAATAAGTCCTATAATAATACCATTTTAATAACAAGATTATCCTTGTACTTTTTTTCTTTTCTTTTACACTAATGCTAATATTCAAAAGTGTTGTAAGCAATTTTATTTGCATATTTAATTGTTAAAATCTGACTTTAATATTGTGATAATTTCTTGTTAATTGGGAGATAAGTCAATTTAATAAATTTTGAAAAAGCAAGATACTATATTAATTTAACTATTTTATTTTTTTTTATAAAATATAAGCAAAGTATTAAAAATTATGCCTATATTTATTTTAACAATGACATTCTAAAAATTAATGAACTAATTTAATTGACAAAAACTCTTGTATGTCATTAGGATGTGGATGGTAAGCGGATCTTCTATAGCTTCACTCTTCCAGTAGCTTCACTCTTCCAGTTCACTTTTCTTTTCTTACTTTCTGTGCTTTTCCTTTTACCCTAATGTTGTGTTTGGTTGGGAGATTTGAAAAAGAAAAGGAAAAAAATGTGTAAAATTAAGTGAAATTTAGGTATATTTTATTCACATTTTACTTAACTTTTCTCTTTCTCTCTCCAAATCCTTCTTCAAATCCCCCAACCAAACACAACGTAAAAGCACAGCAGTGACTGTAGTGCCTCTCTATTTGACATATATTGTGGTCTTATTTTTATAATTCAAACCGCATTTTGTAAGTTTTGTTGAGTACTTCATGCCTATCAAAAATCATATTAGTCGGATATCAATAACTATATGATCGAATTGTATATTATTTTTGTTATTTCTAAAAAGAAAAACTTATTATTTATTGTTTTGGTTATCGATCATATAGTTGTTGATATTCGATTAATATGATTTTTTGTAGGAATAAATTACTCAATAAATCCTACAAAATAAACAGTTTAAATCATAAAAATAAAGATACAATACACCTCAAATAGAGGCATCACATTCGCTGCTGTACTACCCCTTTTCCTTTACTGACTGTTTTGGAACAATAATGCTACATACTCACAAAAAAAAAAAAAAAAAACACAATTCCCAAAAAAACCCTACTTACTTATAATTGGCCCAAGAAGGAAAGAAAAAAAAATTAAAATACATGATTGGTCCACGTCATATTTGAAGGTCATGCGAGCCTCTAATTTTGGGAGTCTTAAACATTTTTAATTTTAGAATTGATTTTTTTTTTTTTAACGAAAATAACATCCAAAAAATAGAAAGACTTTTTAATAATGATGTTTTGACTGTTTAACTAAAATAAGTTGTTTCTAAACTTAACCATAATGAGTGTAAAAAGGAAAAAAAAAAAAACAAAACAAAACAAACTGTGAAGGTATTTGTTTGAATCGATTGAATAAGAACCGGCTACAATTCTATGGACTATTAGTCTTAAATAAATAATTCCCAAACTATTTAACTAGAATTTATGTGTATTTGACTATTAATCGGACCTTCACTAAACTAAATCTCACACCTCAATCCCATAAAACAAACCTGTTGCTGCAAAGCAAGTATGGTTGACACACAACCATAAACTGGATCCGACAATCTAGCCTGAGCTTCATAAGATATCGTCACCACAGCATCATGTCTACGGTTCATCGGAATGTGCAAGAGCAACTTAGACACGTTACTCGCCCCGAACACCTTGTGCACGGCCGCGAACCGCGCCGCTCCCTGGTCGGACCCGAAATGCGGAGCGAATATGCACCCGCTGATGCACTTCCTCCTCAAGAACTTGCACGCCCCGCACGGCGCCGTAGGCAGTGGCACTGCTGCAGCAACACCAGCATCGATGGCAGTTGTAGACCGCTTTCCGCTGGACTTCCGGCGGCCCTCGGAGGTGCCGTCGGATTGTGGCTCGGCCATGGAGGAGGAGGTGTATAGAGAGAGGAATTAAGAGGAGTGCGTACGTATGAGAGAGAAGAAAAAAGAGTTGGAGGGATGGTCTTTATAGTGGTGCGAACTAGGAATTCGGATCTTCTGTAGTGTATTATCTTCATTTTATAATACTGCCAAATGAAATCAAAGAGAAAAAGGTTTTTATTTTAAATTTTTTAAAAATAATTTCGTTTGTTTTATACTGTGTTTGGTTGAGGGATTTGGAAAGAGAAATGGAAAAGGTAGGTGAAATGTGAAAAAAACATGCCTACATTTCACATAGTTTTACACACCTTTTCCTTTTCCCTTTTCAAATCTCTCCTCAAATCTCTCAACCAAATACAAAGTTAGAGTATTAGGGATAATGCACTTACAGAATATCCAAATTTATTATTAGGGAGAGTGAGGGAATTCGAATCCTCCATACTGTATTACTTGCATCATATAGTATCGCCAAATAATGTCACAGAGAAAAGGGACAGTTTTTTATTTTTTTTTCTTCATAATTTTGTCATAAAATGATGTTGTTTTGAAGGTAGTACCAGCAACGAGGAGCCAAATTATTGAATAATTTTTTAATATTATATAACATTATTTACGTGATATTTTAAATTATTAAAAATTAAAACATATATTAAATCAATTTTTCTTTGTCTCCTAATTAAATAATAAGATGAATTAATATTATTTATTATAAAATATTTTATTACATTATTAATAAGAATACCGTATAAAGAATATCATATAAACAATGACACGAAGTGTGGAAAGAGGCACGTAAGTCTCGTGAAGGGGGGTGGGGGCTGGGAAGGGGAATGTGGCAAGGTTTGGAGAGAGGGGGAGAGAAAGAGACGTTATGGTTGGTTGGTGAGAGAGGGAGCGAATGGGAGGAGCAGTTTTGGTGTGAAGTGTGCACGTGCAAAGGGAGTGTTTATATCTGTTTCTATTCCAGTGTGTCCACAACAACATTTGTGTTAATCTAATATAATACCAGCTAGAATGAGTTGTTACAATTTTTTTTTAGGTTTAGGTTTGTGTCCAGTTCACTGTTTGGATGGACGATGTTATTGGGTTTTGTTATGGGGTTTATTATGACACTTATTTTGATGATTTAAATTATTTATTTTATTAAATTTAGAAAAATCAAATTTATCTGATAATTATATTTATATAATTTTATTATATTTGTCTTAAAAAAAGATTAATGACCTATTTTGAAAACTATAATTATTGTTTAATTTTTTTTTGAAGAAAAATATATAGTTATGATTATCGAATTAATCTTTTTTTTTATAAATAATCTACACATAAAACTTGATAAAATGAACAATTTAGATCATTGAAATAGACTCCATAAAGAAACCCCACGACACCCTTCAATGAAGACAAGCCTCCCCCTTTTATATCATTTTAGTTTATTATTTTGTGTCAATTAAAATTGATTTTTTTTTAATAATTTTTTAATTTTTATAAAAAGACGTATAAAATAATAAATTATTGATTTGTAATAACTTTTTGGCGAAAAACTAACCTTCCCAAACAAGACTATAATGTGTTATCATTGTATTAGTTTAATTGATTCTATCATTTATATCCATTATTAATATAATCATAATATATGAGATGATAAACTAAATATAGTATAAAAATATGATAAATGTATCCGATAAGTCTAGGAACGCATATTTCAAACAAGAAGCTAAACATAGAAAAAGAAAAAGAAAAAAAGGGAGATTGACCAATAAGTTCCATATTTTGGATTTAATCTCATATTTTTTCTTGTGATTAATTTAGTCATTTTGGATGTGTAATGACTCATTTGTCCACTATATTGGAGTGTCATATTTGAAAATAGCACACTATGGAGTTTTTGTTGGAACAATATTCTGTGTAAATAATAAAAATTGAAACAAATGAAATAATTCACTTATAGAAAGTTTTTGTTTCGGAAAATAAATCAGCAAGACTATGATCAAGTCGAGTGCGTGACACTCTGTCCTTAAGATAGATTCGCCACTACACAGGTGCTCACGGACTAATGGCGTCTATCTCTCAAGATACAATGATCGAAAACCACAGGTTGTAATAGCACTACAAACAATCTGTCAGGTGAACCAAACCTGAGTTCTACAACTCTCTAAAAAATCTATGAACTAATATGAAGAACAATGTAGCATAAAATGAAGGAAAATGGAAAGAAAATTTTGGAATAAATGAATTTGCTGGAGGAATTTATAGGCCATGAGGTTTTTTTAGAAAGGCAGACAACCTTTCGAACAGGTGTGATCGAAATGTGGAGAGAGGTGACCGGAGAGGCACTGTTCCGGGAAGCAAAATTCGAATTTGAATTTTGGCACAAATGTTTTGAATAAATTGTCCATAACTCTCCTCCTTACAAAACTTGGGGTGCCCCTTAGAGCCCAACCCAAGTATGTCAACCTAAAACTTATATATATATACTTATATAAGTTCTCTTAAAATTTCTATGTGGGACACCCAAAACAAGGTAACCCACATTTGACTCTTCAACTTTCTATTTCACGAACCCGAAAACGATGTCAACTTCTCATTCACTCATAAATGATTTTGACGATCCGTCTTCACCGTGTGACTTATCATGCACTAAGGAACATATCACCACTTGGACCCACCTCAAAAGACATGTGGGCCTCACTTAAATTTGTGCTCAAAGATGGCTCAAAATAAGTCTATAAAATCAAAATTTCCAACAATTTTTAATTTTTTTAGAGTAGCACATCATACTCGCTACATTATCACATTTGAGAAAAGTATGCTAATGAGTATTTAGTTTTTTTGGAGTATCACATCATATTTTTTACAATAATTTTTTTTAGAGTGTCATATCATACCCACTATGTTAGAGTGTCGCATGTTACATTTGGAAAAAGTACACTAAAGAGTTTTTAATTTCTTTGGTGTGTCACACCATACTTGCCACGTCATCACATTTGGGAAAAGTACACTAAGAAATTTTTAATTTTTTTAGAGTGTCACATCATACCTGCCACGTTAGAGTGTCATATTAATACCTGCCACATTGGAGTGCTACATCATACCAGCCATATTAATAAAAGGGTATAGTTGTCCACCAAAATACTACCAAAATCGGAAATAGGACCACACGGAAAGAAACTTTCTACTAATAGGATTTAATAGATCAATACAAAAAGTTGAAACTAATTGGAATACTTATTTGTGAGATGAAATTTATTGATAAATATTCTAAAAAATAAATGGATATAATTTGAACGAAGTGAGCTCCACAAATAAATCTTGTAAAATTTTATATATTCATATGTTTTTTGCGTCTAATTTTAGGTTTGTTTATATGTTTCTAAAGCATCCATTGAGCTAAATTATAACCAAAAAATTACTTTCTATTTTATCTAGCATTTTTTTATATACATCTCCATCAAACTCTCTATTCTAAAATTTAATTTTATAAAATATTCATTTTTATGATTTGCTAGATTATGTAAACAATCCTGTCTAAAGCAGCTTCTAGAAGGTTCTAGGAAAAGTTGCTATATTCCTCAAATAATAATAATAATAATGGTGCATAACTGCTCATTCGACGGGAAGTCTGGTCGAATGACCGGTCATATGTTCAGTAATAAATGATAAAATATTGTATTTCTTATTAATTGTTATGAGAGTAGAGAGAGAAGAGAAAAGAGAAACTCTTATATTGAATTAAAAATAAATAATGAATAGTACAATCTCCTTTATATAGGAAAGAATATAAGGCATATACATAGAATATACTATATACATAGACAAAATATATACAGAGAATATTCTATATTTAACACCCCCCTCTCAAGCTCAAGGTGGTAATGCAGATATCAAGTTGAGCTTGGAAAGTAAATTAGAAAATTGTTCTGGATGATGAGCCTTGGTGAAGATATCAACTGTCTGATCAATAGAGGTAACAAAGATAAGACAAATAGTGCCACTAGTAACATGCTGTCATATGAAGTAACAATCAATCTCAATATGCTTGGTGCAATCATGGAACACATCATTATGTGCAATATGAATAGCACTTTGATTGTTACAATAGAGGTTAGTGATAGCAAGATAAGGAATTCTCATATCAGAAAGAAGCCAACGAAGCCACATAAGCTCTGCTCAACCTCAGTACTAGAACGAACAACAAGAGTTTGCTTCTTGCTACGCTAGACAATGAGAGAATCACCTAAGAAGAAGCAAAACCCTGTAGTAGAACGACAGTCAGTAGGATCCCCCACCCAATCTGCATCAGAAAATGCATGTAATTGTAGAGAAGAGTGTGTTGAGTAGTGAAGACCATGAAACATAGTGTCTTTGAGATAGCTCAAAATGCAAACTAGAGCATCATAGTGTGGAGAGCGAGGAGCAGTCATGAACTGACTGACAATGTGAACAATATAGGCAATGTCTGGACGAGTAACCGTGAGATAGACAAGACTGATACCCATAGTGTAAAGACCCTTTCCTAGATGAAGAAGCAAGGGTAGCTCGAGGACAATTACTTTGGAAATAACTAAGAGCAGTCATGTGGCAAGTCAAGCATTCATGAACTTGGCACTGAAGTAGAGAATGATTGGCAGGTAGGCCACAGTTGCGACAGTAAATGCATGAGCTAGAAGACTGTAAAGATGAAGAACCCCGTGATGATGGTGTAGCAAGAACAGAATCCAAGTTTTGAGTTTTGAGTATCCCAAAATGAGTTTCTTCTGATAATAGTTCTGTAATAGCTTGCTCAAAAGTCAGTAAGGGCAAACGATGGAGCAAGGAAGCACGCACAAGCTCAAAGGTGCTATGAAAAGCCATAAGAAACTACAATAGCCGCTGATGATTCTTATGAACAATAAATAATTGTGCATTCTCAGAATGTGCCCAAGTAGGTTCAAAGAGAGCCAATTGGTCCCAAACAAACGACATCTGGGATAAAAAATCATTGATGGGTTGACCAGGCTCTTGGCTCATATGATGAAAAGTTTGTAAGAGTTGATATT